TGTGAATGACCCCTGGGTGGACCACGGTCCCTGAATGCTTGCTGGCCTGGAAACGGAGCTGCCTAGCTGGATGACTGCTAAGGAGCAGGTGATGGAGGGGTCCCTGGGGAGGGTGTGCACCCAGAGCGGACACTGCTGCAGAACCAGGAGCAGGTAGAGCTGAGCGAGCGGGAGGAGGGGCCAGGGCCTGCTGCCATGCCCATCCTGACCCCCCCCACCTACTCACCCCGACCTCACCACCTGCCTGCTCCCTCCAGCACCCCCTGTGCACAGTGGGCTGGCCTAGACTCAGAGGTCACTTTGCGGGATAAGGGAACAGGTGGGAGGGGGTCCCCAGAGGCCCTGCCACCCCCAGCGGCCCCCACCCAGGGCCCATTAGGGTCCGAGCTCAGGGCTTTTGTGGGCAGAAGCTGATGGGGGCTCTGCCATCGGGGGGTTGCCCCACCCAGTCCCCAGCCCCCACCCAGGTCAGAGCCAAGTGACCACATGAATTCCTGGGCCCTCCCTCATTCCTCCCCCATCTCTCCCTCCCTCCCTGGTGGGCGTCCAAGGCCCTTCCCAGGCTCTAAAGAGGCTTCTGTGTGGGGCTGACCCCAGCCCCTCCCCTTCCCCCTTTCCTGCACCCCCTCTACCCCCATCAGGAAGGCCAGCAGGCGTGGGAGAGACCGGGCTGGGAACCAGCCGCTGACAGCGACCTGGGGTCCCTGCCAAGTCTCCCTTCCGCTCACCCCCTTCCTCCCTGCCCTCTCCTAGGACACCAAGCAGGGGTAAGGGTGGGGGAGAGGCTCTTAAAGGGGCCAGGACTGCACTCAGAGAGAGGTGGGGTCTGGTTTGGGTCCTGATCATGCATGCTGCTGGGCGCTCCCTGGACCCAGTCACCTCCGAGGCAAACGAGCCCCGGGGAGGCAGCGGGATAGCTCTGTGAAGTGGGCTTGGAGAAGGGGGTCCGGGCAGGGATCTGGGACCCTATATGTGTGCAGCCCAGCTACTGGGGGCACCAGGGCAGGGGTGGACCTGGGCGGCTGGGTGCTGGGAGCACCCAGCGAGGGAGTCTGCTGGGGGAGCTCACAGGGGCTTCTGCCAGCTCAGGGGCTGGACTCCAGGGTCACACACCGGAGGTAAAGCTGCAGAAAGCCTGTCCCCTGGCCGAACTCTGGCCCACCTGCTCACTCGCCATGGCTGCACTGCTGCTCAGGTGAGGGCAGAGCAGGTGGCCCGTGAGCTATGGCCTGTTCTGACTCTTATACTCCAAACGTTCTGGTGGTTGATTGAACACAGACCAGCAATAATTAGAGAGTTACATTGTGTAACCTCCATGGGTGCACAAAGGAGCCCTGGTGGCCTAGTGGATGAGGCTTTGGGCTGCTAACACAAGTCCCGCTGTTCAAAACCACAAGCAGCTCCACAGGAGAAAGATGAGGCTTTCTGCTCCAGTAAATATTCACAGCCTCGGAAACCCGCTGGATGGTTCTACTCTGTCCTGTAGTGTCACCGAGAGTCAGGATGGGCTCGAGGGCAGCGAGTGAAGCCTGTCAGACAAAGGGCGCGATCCCTTCAGGGCCCTGGAGCTGTTCCTGATCGGCACCAACCCCTATCAACCATCTACTAGGACACTCCATCTTCAGCCATCATCCACCACCCTGTCCATCCATCTACACATCCATCCATCCACCCATCCAACCAACCACCTACCCATCCACCCATTCATCCATTCACCATCCATCTACCCATCCATCCATCCAACTACCCATCCACGCATTCATCCATTCACCATCCATCCAACCAACCACCTACCCATCCACCCATTCATCCATTCACCATCCATCCATCCATCCATCCACCCATCCATCCAACCATCTACCATCCATTCATCCATCCATCCACCCATCCACCCATCCAACCAACCACCTACCCATCCACCCATTCATCCATTCACCATCCATCTATCCATCCATCCATCCATCCATCCATCCATCCATCCATCCA